TCCCACCCATCTTAGTGTCATCTGCCCAAATTAGTTCTTGATGTTTATGAACGTTTGTGACCAGCATGAATAGGCTATATTGGAGGATAGTAAAAAACAGTCATTGGCGATTGTTATGGCTTCACTAATAAATCAACAGTGTTCATGGGAATGACAAAAGCAGCTCAACATTTGATTTAAGGAATTGTGTAGCCATACTTAGGTTTAAAATGGGTTATGGCTCAAGTAATAAATAGTAACAACCACAGAAATGATAAATGGAGTCCAACATTTGATTTAAGAAATTTTGTAGAAATATTTAAGTTTGAAATGTTTTGGCTAATGAGTAAATGTATGTGTGTAAGTAGGAGTAGCAAACAGCACTCATAGTTTTTTATTGGAAGTATAGTAATGTTCTTGATTTTCCCACAGAAATCAAGTGCTCTTCATTTGCTGTCAGGCTTTCTTTTCTTAACTAAAAGCAGGTATTTGTTCTAGGTAGGACAGATTTGTGTATGCCGACTTTTTTGGACTTCATGGTCTCACCAGCCGCTTCTTTCCATAACAGATGAATGACTGTTTTTAAATGATCTGAGCATGCAGATGCTGGCGCTCCAAATACAATGGATAAAATGTAAAGAATTATTCTTTTAATTTTTGATAATAAGGTGTAAACTGCAGGAAAGCCAGTGTGATTGGTAAGGATTAGATGACAATTACAATGGAACTAGAAGATCAACCTAAATGAGGGAAGGAGATTCCAGGCAATAGGGTGCCTTTTAAATCAGTGAAGTATCTTAATAGCAAATAAAAGCTGGATGTACAAATGTGTAAACGCGAGGGGTCTGAAAGGAAACGTGAGGAAACTATAATGCCTGAGAGCGGGCAAGTCACTTTACATAAGCACCATGGAATGTCAAATAAAAGGGAATCTATAATATCTGGATGTAAACTGTACAGAAAGGATAGTTCAAGTTGTGGACAGGCAGGACTAGCTATCAAACTGGTAATATATTTTCAGAAATCTAAAGTGATTTTGGAACTATGCTGTCAACTGTAACATGCAAATCTCATCAGCTGTGTGATAGTCTAGAAATCATCTGGCTGTAAGAAGCAGTAATAATGGGTGACTTCATCTTGTCTGTATGCAGATAGTGCCCTTGTTACTGAATTTCCCAAAGAAAGAGTTTTAATATGGTGGAAGCTGTTGTGCAAACAGGACATGTGCATGAGGGTTGTCGCCTGTTCATCATTTTGGTCCCCATTTGTAGTATGACATCTTCTCCATTTGCCATTTGATAAGTAAGATTTAAGACATCATTAGTTAAACAGGCACTCCTTTTATTGTTTATGACCAATTTCAGATCCAATTGCAGCCAAGGTGTTATGGAGTTGCAGGTGGTCCTTGTACTGAGGAGTACCAGGGTGAATTGGTAGTCCTACAAAGGTCAGAGTGGAAAGAAAGACAATATACAGCTATGAGTTATGCCACAACTCTCCATATAGAATTCTAGATGACTTGGAAATATAAACTACACGGAATGATAAGTTCCCAGCTTTGCACACTGATTACCTCCTGGCAGGTCTTGCGAATGTCAGGCTGCAGTTAACCGAACTGTGTAAAATGAAGTTTCTATTTAATGAAAACCTTCAAATTTTGATCATGTATTCCTAGAGCACACCCTCTCTGTGGTAGTTTGACCTATTTATTCTTGACATTAAGAAAGTTATATTTCTTTTACTTGTCAGCAAGCAAATGTACCTAGTCAATAATTCATGATGCAGTTTACTGAGTAAATGGAGTGTGTTTTGAGAAAGGCTGTCTTTTAAGAATTGCATCTGATCCAGTAAACCAAATTATATAATAATAATGTCATCAATGTAAACAAATACCAGATGGGTTGTAAAACATTTAATTTTAGATCACTGCAAATAGATGGAGATAAACACTGATGTGACATATTGTCAGTCACTAGTAAAGCTCAAAAAGGATTCCCACTGGGTGCCCGTATCCTGGAGGATTCCACCTTCATGCTTGTTTTTCTCTTGTTTTAAGTCTTGCTCTATTTATCTCCATTTGCTCCACGTTATTGTGCTTTCAGACACGGTGTGCTGGCCTGGCTGCGTGTCAAAGCGTGACAGTGCAAGCCAGCAAGGTTTTGCTGATGAAAGGCAGAAGGTGTTCCCGAGGAAGGTCTGTGAGCCTCCCGAGGCGTGGGCACAGCAGAGGCAGGGCAGCTGCTTTCTGTATTGTGGGGAGTTGGCTTATCTCTTAAGGTATTTTCCCATCCTTGGGGGGATGGATGCTGTTACCTGTGCCAGACCCAACTTCCTCCAGGATGGAGTAGTGACAACCGGCACGTTTTACTCCTAAGATATGAATGCATTCGCTACAAGACTCTCTCAGTTGTGGTCGGTTCAAGATCAAGTTCAGAATGTCTTTGTGCTATTAAATTGCAACGCCAGGGTTTTTTTCGACACAGTGAAAATCTTTTGTTCTGTATTTAAGTTAAAGATATCTGCTAGCACTTCTGTAACAGTTTTCTAGTTGATTTTCAGATGGATCTGTCTCTCTCTCTCTCTTAGGAGAGTCTATTATTACCAAGATCCATAATAAACCTTTGTCATACACTTCAAAAGGTTTAAAATACTTTGTGTTACCTAACTATATGTTTCTAAACTGTTCAATGCGTGCAGATTTTCAGCAGATGATACACAAGCACAATGACTGATAACTTTTTATTATAAGCCAACCTTAAAACGCAGGTTGGATCACATAAGCAGAAACACTTTGTTTCCTTTGAAGTGTAGAGCTGGGCTCTCTTGGTAGAGGGAAAATGCAGTTCAGGATTGTTTAGCTAAGAAGAGTTTGTTGTTTTCTTATGATTACTAAACTTCTTTTGATGGGCAGAAAGACTACCATTTATGGGTGTCTCAGCCTATTTGACATCACCAGGGTTGCCAACTTTGAGTTGAGTAAATTTAACATTGTATTAGACATAGAATGACAGAATGGTTTGGGTTGGAAGGGACCTTACAGACCATCCAGTTCCAACCCCCCTGCCATGGGCAGGGACACCTTGCACTAAACCAGGTTGCTCAAAGCCTCATCCAGCCTGGCCTTGAACACTTCCAGGGATGGGGCATCCACAGCTTCTCTGGGCAACCTGTCCCAGTGCCTCACCACCCTCTCTGGGAAGAATTTTTTCCTGATATCTAACCTAAATCTCCCCTCTTTCAATTTAAACCCATTACCCCTTGTCCTGTCACTACAGGCCCTTGTAAAACTCTCCCCCGACCCCCCCACCCCCTCCCCGCAGCTTCCTTCTAGGTCCCCTTCAGGCACTGGAAGGTGCTACAAGGTCTCCCCGGAGCCTTCTCTTCTCCAGGCTGAACAAGCCCAACTCTCTCAGCCTGTCCCCATAGCAGAGGGGCTCCAGCCCTCTGATCCTTTATATATTGAAAAGTATAGTTAATTTACATAGATGAAATTCTGACTGAAGACTTTTAGCTTAATTTGTCATCTTCTAAAGTTATCAGAAAAGTGCCACTTAAGATCTGGAATCTATCCTTCATTTTCTCGGTGAGACTCCTGAGACGCTGACATAACTTCTTTGTCAACACTTAGTCAATATAGAGGGTTTTTTAAATTTGTATTTTCAATTTTTAAACGCACTTAATAAAATAGATATCAAAAGCTTTGCAGAAAGTATAAAGTCTGGTTGTCATCTTAAACTCAGTAAAATCAAACCCTCTCTACGAGGAGAAACAGTTTACACATATACAGTGGCATGCAGATACGCTTGATCTCGATTGCATCACAAAAGTTTTCTTTTTAGATGCAAATGACTTCCAGTTGGGGATATGAATTAGCATTGTGTTGCAGAAAAACAACACCTTATTTACAAAAGTACATTTTCCTGATTTGTTTTTCTGAGGATGAATTTTAATAAGAAAAACACCTGTCTCATTTTCTGACAGCTGATTACTGCACCAGAATCACTGAGTGACTAAGATGACAAGCTATCCCAACACATCAGGCTTTTATTGCTGTCTTGGGTATACAAGAAACTTGTATTAAGTGGTGTTTAACAAGACCTCGTTCTGTTTGTCAGTTCTGTGACATGATCTATATGAAGGAAGGAATAACGTCCCAGTGTCAACTGAAGATGAGAAGATTGTAGCAGGTATCACCTGTCTCTGTAGTGTGAAGCTTCTCTGTAGAGATGCAGACAAACCAAATTGTGTGTGGTTTTTTTCATCACGCTGCCAGATGGGGATTAGGCAATTTTATGCAAAAATTCATGCACTGTCAGTCAGAAACTGATGGTTGAGATTTAGGAAGAAATGTTCTTACCAAGAAATACGGCTTTTTCTTTCTTTACATCAAGTGACTTACTGTGGCTTTATCGCTGTCATGTTTAACTACTGTGACTTTATAACCATGAAGTATTGAATGGGAAATTACTAAAAGCACTGGAAAGACATCCCTTCAGTGTGGAAACTACTTTCCGTATATTCAAAAATATTTGGAAATTCATCACTTTTTTTTTTTTCAGTAAAATACCATGATATTCTCTAATAGGCGCAAACGGCTCCTTCAGCCATAGACCAACAAATCCATTCTTCAGCAGCTGGTAAACTAGATGGAAATGGCATGCCTTTCTGTGATATACGCCTTTTAAACATTTCACCAGGAAGATCCCAGCAAAATATGCCTCCTCATAGTGCTCCACACTGAGGGTTTTTTCCAAGTCACTTTGATGGTAAACGTCCCAACTCCAGGTACCATATAGAGCTAAGTTTGAACAACAATTTTACCTGGGTTGTGTTGTGTTTTGTTTGTTTGGTGGGGCATTCAAGGTAGCAGGGGAATGGCTGGCTCCTGTGAGAAGCTGCCAGAAGCTTTTCCAGCTCCAAGTTGGACCTGCCTCTGGCCATGGCCAAGTCAACAATCATCTCTGTGATTAATGTATTTAGAGGGCAAGACAGAAAACCAGCAGTGGAAGCAGAAACAGTGTAGAGAGAGGAGCGGGATGTGAGTGAGACAGCCAGGCAGACCCCCAGGTCAGTGTGGAAAGGCAGGAGGAGGTGGCCGGAGCAGAGGTTCCCCTGCAGCCCAGGGAGGGCCCCACGCTGGAGCAGGGGGATGCTCGAATGAGGCTGTGACTCCATGGGAAGCCTGCACTGGATCAGGTTGCACCCTATGGAAGGGACCCAGGCTGGAGCAGTTCATGAAGAACTGCAGCCCGTGGGAAGGGCTAACATTGGAAAAGTTTGTGGAGGACTGTCTCCCGTGGGAGGGACCCCACGCTGGAGCAGGGGCAGAGTGTGAGGATCCCTCCCCTGAGGAGGAAGGAGCAGCAGAGACAGTGTGTGATGGACTGACCTCAATCCCCATCCTTCTGCAGCACTTAGGGTGAAGAAGCAGAGAAATGGGGAGCAAAGCTGAGTTTGGGAAGAAGGGAGGGATGAGAGGAAGGTGCTTCTAAGATCTGTTTTGTTTTCTTTCTCATTATCCTACTCTGATTTGGTTGATGACTAATTAATTTTTCTTTATCTTTTTGGTGAGTGATCCCTTGCCCCACGACCCTTTTGTGGGTTTTTTTTTGTTTGTTTGGTTTTTTTTCTTCTCCCCATCTCACCGCAGGGAGGAGTGAGTGAGCGGCTGCATGGTGGTTTTTGTTGCTGGCTGGGCCTAAACCCCGACACACGTTCATTCACGTGTTAAAGAATATGCAAAATGCCTTTATTTTGTTCAGCTTTAGGTGTTTTAAGGCTTTCCAAAACAAATACTAAACACTGAAATGTATAGTTATTTAAAACAGTAGAATTAGGTTTCAGCCACAAATCCCGATTTGCACTTTCCACTTAGGTGTTCAGGTGGAGAGCGGGCTGATCTTTAGAAATAAGGAAAAAAGTGTCCTGATTTTGTCGCCAGAAAATCAGTCACAGAAATACTACCCTGTGCGATTTTTCTCATGCCACTGTGGAAAGACTTTGGCAAAAGAAGCAAAACCAGTTTCTTGCTACTCCTTATTTCGTGTCTGAATCTTGAGCATATGCTCTGAGTGGGATGGAAATCACTTAACTTTGATTTTTTTAATTTGTTTATTATTATGCACTAATCCGTAGCACTGAAAACATGTCATGAAGAAAACAGTGCAATAGGGAGTTAGTGGGAAAAATACTTCAAAATGGGTTTTTTTAAATGTTGCTTAATCGCTATGGTGACTAGCATATTTATTTGCATTTTAATGCATTCTCACTGTTTACCTATATTTGCTTCATCATTTCATGTTGTCAAATACTTGGTTAATGTTATTATTTTCCTTTTAAAGAAATTATGATAGGTTTTGGAGCATTACATGATTTTCTATTTTTCTGTTTTTATTAATATAAAGATTTCTTCTTTTTCCTCTAGAAAGGTTCTAAAGGAAATCTCTGTTGGAGACCTAAAGCCTAATGAAACAGTTGAAGCAAATCTGGAAGCACAACTACTCTCCAAATTAGACCACCCAGCCATTGTAAAATTTTATGCAAGCTTTGTGGAGCGAGATAGTTTCTGCATTATCACTGAATACTGTGAGGTGAGAGTTGTAGATTACCTTGAAGAAATTTGAGAGGAAGTGTGCATTAAAATAGGGTCTTAAAGGAAACCTAGCCCATTTTTTATAATGTTTAAATATGAAATTTACTCTTATTTCTTACTTGTGGTATCACCTGCTGCTTGTTAGGCATGTTTCAAATAAGCAATGTTACCTGCTCCCATGAGACTCACAACTTATAGGCAGACAAAACAGAGAAGAGGAAATTTTAAGCACAAGTTCATTTAATTCAGTAGGATCAATATTGCAAAAAAGACTTAAATACAGACACATTACCAGATCTGTGGGTGGACTCAAGAGATTCTACCACATATGTACCACTGGTTGGTAGGAGAGGGTGAAACTGGGAGTGCAGGGGCATGGTATGACATCTGATGTAAATGAGGAAGGGAAAACTTGCTTGTGATTTGTTGATGATTACAAGAAGCTCAAGCCTGAACATATGGATGATGAGTTTGGTAGCAGCATTATAAAGTAGAGAATAGCTTTATGAAGTGGAGAATAGTGTGACACAAAGATGGGAGTTTAGAGGATACAAAAAATATTAAAGCAGGATATGCTACAATATTGCTATCAGTTGAAATCTGTCTTAAGGCTTTTAAATAAGAATTTATACATATTTAAGACAGCTTTTTAAGAGTTTGTATGAAACAACTGCCTACTTTATATTATGAATAGGTGTGCTGTTTTAAAAAATACAGTCTGTTATACATACAGTGATGTTTTTATGAAACTGAAACACTTGTGCTCTGCTAGACATTTTAAATGCTTTGGAAGCTAATGACCTTGGACTACTGAATTACCTGTCCAGCGGTCAGACTCGTATTAACTAATCACATTTCTTCAAGCATTCCGCTTTGGTGTGAATAATTAAAGAAGTACTATTCCTGCCAGTCATTGCTTCCTTAGAAGCGTTCTTCTGGATTCTATCTTATCGACTATCTGGACTTCTGTAAGGCCTTTGACAGGGTCCTCCAGAACACCCTTCTGTCTGAATTGGAGAGATACAGATTTGATGGATGGACTGTTTAGTGGATGAGGAATTGGTTGGGTGGTCACATCCAGTGCATAGTGGTCAACAGCTCGGTGTCCAGATGGAGATCAGTTACAAGTCGCATGCCTCAGGGGTCTGTATTGGAACCAGTACTGTTTAGTATCCTTTTCAATGACACGGACAGTGAGATCAAGTGTTCCCTCTGCAAGTTTGCAGGCGATACCAAGCTGAGTGGTGTGGTCAACATACCTGAGGATGCTATCCAGAGGGACCTGGACAGGTGGGCCACTGCCAACCTCATGAGGTTCAACAAGGCCAAGTGCAAGGTCCTGCACCTGGGTCAGGGCAATCCCAAGCACAGGTACAGGCTGGGTGGAGAGTGGATAGAGAGCAGCCCTGAGGACGAGGACCTGGAGGTACTGGTGGATGAAAAGCTGGACATGAGCCGGCCGTGTGCGCTGGCAGCCCAGAAAGCCAAACGTATCCTGGGCTGTATCAGGCGAACCATGGTGAGCAGGTCGAGGGAGGTGATTCTCCCCCTCTACTCTGCTCTTGTGAGACCCTACCCATAGTACTGTGTCCAGCTGTGGAGCCCTCAACATAAGAAGAATATAGACCGGTTGGAGCAAGTCCAGAGGAGGCCACGCAGATGCTCAGAAGGCTGGAGCACCTCTGCTATGGGTCTGCTATGGGGACAGGCTGAGGGAGTTGGGCTTGTTCAGCCTGGAGAAGGCTCTGGGAATACCTTAGAGCAGCCTTTCAGTACTTAAAGGGGTCTTGTAAGAAAGACAAGGACAAACTTTTTAGCAGGTTATGTAGCGATAGGACATGGAGTAAGGGTTTTAAACTAAAAGAGGGTAGATCTTGATTAGATATAAGGAAGAATTTTTTTATGATGAGGGTAGTGAGACATTGGAACAGGTTGCCTAGAGACGTGGTAGATGCCCCATTCCTGGAAACATTCAAGGGCAGGTTGGATGGGGCTTTGAGCAACCTGGTCTAGTGGAAGATGTCCCGGCCCACAGCAGGGGGATTGGACTAGATGTCTATTAAGGGTCCCTTCCAACCCAGGCTATTCTATGGTTCTATGCCCATTTGTTGCTGGGATTTTTGAAAATGAATTCTGGTGTTCAGTTGTGTTATGCAATCTGAATGTTTGTGCATGTGTTAAAATAACACCCATGCAGAAGCTCTTTGCATCATTCCCTGAATATCTGACAGCTGGGGCTTGATGGAAACTTGGTATGCCTACTCTCTGTGGAAATCCAGATCTGAGAACTGAAGAATTCTTCTAACTGCCCAGATATTCTTAGGCACTAAGATTAATTTTCTTTCTAGCAGTGATAGAACGTGGCACAACACCAGATCGGTTAAATCTATAGGAATAAAGGAGTGTCTTTTAGCAGCATTATAGAGCTGGACTAGTGGCTTTGGTCCACTGATTTTTTTTTTTTTTTTTAATTGGGAATACAGTTATAGGTGAATAAAAAAGAGCATGAGAGCAATCACCATAGTAATCATAAGCTGCTGAAGCCCGCCTTGGAATTTTTTTTGTTCAGGCAGTGTGAACTACCCTGCATGAAAACATTTTGATGTGAAGTTACCAGGATCCAGGAGCCATGTACTCAAACACGTGACAATGGATTAGAGCAAGGCAAGTGGCGGAGGAGGAGATAGATGCAATTACCATGCAGCTGATTCTTTTCAGTTTTGAGCTGCTAGGTCATGCCAGAATGACAGTGGGTCCACTAGGAAGTGCTTTGGACTCTTTCCAAAAAGGATGTACTTTGTAGTATCATTTCACTGAAGCAATCGTGATGTATTTCATTGAATGTTCAGGGAAGTACGAAGCAAGGTTTCGCACAGTGCTATAAAGTTTCCTTTCTATTTTAGTGGGAGTATTTCCAGAACGTATACTTTCATATTTACTTATCTATAATCTGCCTTCGTATGTGGTGGGATTTGGATGTTTTTACCTGAAAGATTCCTGTTTAAATTGTGCATAAATTGAGAATAAGAAAAATGTATTGCTACCTGATCCTTGTTTGGAAGTCTACTACATTCAGTTTTTCATGCATAGAATAATTACCAACTTGGCAGTAATTGGTACTCTTGGGCAGACTCAAAATAAGAAGTAAACATTAAGTTGGCATGGAAACAGAACTACCCTCTGAGCCTTATTCTGTTTTCTCCAAAGTACTGTAAGTTATTCATTAGCCACAGTTCATTCTTGCGTGAGTAGCATAGAGTGAGCCTCCAACGCAGCCGCTCGGTGCGATACCTGTCCTGTGAACAAGAGAGAGCATTGGTCTCCATTGCTCAGCTTGATGTCTTTTATTACAACTTACTTCAGTCCAAATTATAGAGAAAAAAAAAGTGTTCTGTTTTGATTTTCCTGTTGAACTTCTTTGGCAGTTTTACAGGCAATATATACATTGTCAGATAAGTCAGATTTCAAACCAAAATGCCTTCATGAACCTTGGTTTTCATTTTGTAACATAAATTGGTTGTCAATGAAATGCATGTTTTACAAAGTAGTTACTTTAAAAGCTGCACCATTTAAATACAGCATAAACCAGAACTAGTTGTACTTTCCCCCAAACAATTATTTCTGTCTCTTCACTGTGCTCTCAGCTGTGATGTGAGTACACATACGCTAAGGAAATCTGAGCTAAAGGACTAACTGAAGCAATCAGTGCCTGTTCACGTTATCAGCTCTAGATGCTAGGCTGTTTTAAATAAGTTACTGGTGTATTTGATACTCTTGACATTAAAACAGAAACTGCAGCTTGGAAACTCCCTATGTATTTAAATTTGTTAAATTCATTATGCTGACCTTCCAAAAAGCACAATTGGGTTAACAAACTTCTTCAGAGTTTCATGGCAGCAGTATTTCAGCAAATCTTTTATGATGCATTTTTGCTTTCCTTTTTTAGACACAAAATCAAGGTTAAATTAATTGTAGGATATTGAGACCAGTCTCCTCCGCTTGAAGGAGAAAATCCATACAGTTACTTGAGGGCACATGTGGTTTGTTCTCCTTAGACATTGAAGGATATATCCCTCAACTTAATAGAGTACCCACCAACTTAACTGTGTAGATCCTACACTTCTTTCCTTTGCATTTTTCACGGCAGTGCGTGATTGTGAGAGGGGACACACTGGGACAGGGGGAAACAGTGATTGGAGCCTGCTGCACTTCATCTATCCTCACCTGGATAGAGCATAGTCCCTTGTGGGCAGTAGCCAGCTGACAAATGTTTGAGGAGCCCCTGAGTCTCGGGCTACTGCTACAGTTGGCTCTGGATTGTTTGGGGCAGCTGTCTGGAATAGGTAACTCATTATTTTTGAGGTGTGTGAGTAGGCTCAGACACAGCCCATCTGGTTGCCATGCAGCAAGGTACCCAGCAGCACTTCTTCCTTCCTTCCTCTGCTCTGCTGCAAGCAGCCAGGGGGGAGCTGTTGAACATTTGGAGTTGCAAAGGGGTAGCAGCTGCTGAGAGCTTCAAGTTCCCAGAAGAGCTTCTCTTTGGGCTGCAGCAGGGTGGCAGATGGAGAGCTGAAGCCATATTCCCTTCCCTAGTGAATGAGATGATTCAGACATTTCAATCGAAAAATTGCAGGACACTGTCAGGCAACACATTTTTGATATATTACAAAACATGTTTTCTTGTTTTTAGCACACTCACTCTTGAATGTTGTAACTTAGAACCTCAGGGACCAAACAAATTACTGTTAATTCATGTCAAAGTACAAGACATGAAAGTATAGACCTGCAATGGCAGAACCTGCTTATTTTGCAGCAGCCGTATGAAGCACTGTGGTGTTGGGAACAGAAAACCAAGAAATGGTGAAGAGATCATAAAATGTTGAGAGTCAGCAGTGCAGAGAAGGGAAGGGTTGATAATGGGAAATGGTGATACAGATAAAGCTGAACAGGTTAAACTATTTTCTTGTGTACGACACATAAAACTTCTGATTTTATGCAGAATGTGTGATGTAAAAGTAATGATTTATGGGGAATAAGCTGTCTTGATGTAAGGTAATTAGTCACTAGAGTACAATGAGTCTCGCAGTCCCTTTGCTCTGGGAGTAGTTACCTCAACACAGTGCCTGCCACTAACGTGCACTCTTGTAGACAAAATCTATTTATTTTGTAAACTAGATAAACAACTAGCTGACAACCATCTGTCTATTTTTTAGCAAAATGAACAGTTTGCATAGAAGTCTCCTCAAAAACCTCTTTCATCATGCTGTTGTTCATCTGATTTTTCCAAATGTCTGACTTCCAGATCTTTCAAGAAGTGTTTTTCTATATGTATTTTCTGGTTTATTTTCACTGCCTACTGCATGTCACATTGCTCAATTTCTAGTGTTACTTCAAGAGCAATTGCAGTTTTAATGAAGTATTTACAGTAACACACACTGTAGATTCTTGAAGCTTTAATTCTGCTTTGTTACTGGCAACAGTGAGTTTGGAAGAAGGACAAAGTGTCATAATTAAGGAGACTATGTTAATTCTTAAGAGAACAGCATAGTTTCTTTGGTGCTGATAAAGTTATTTCAGCATAATAAATGAGAGTGTGTCTTGACTGGGCAACGTTTGATTTAAGTGGAAATGCTTTTCCCAAATTTATAAACTTGTTTAGACCAACCAGGGTGGATTCATTTTACTTGATTTAAGTGTCTGCGTATTAGCCAGTCAGTGCCGGCCCTCATCATAAACCTTTGCAGAGAAACAGCAATTCTATAGCATGATCCATCCCTTCCTAAGGCGGAGAGCTGGATGGTGGAGATAATTGCACTGTACAGGTGCCTGTTCCTTTGTGTTAACTACAGAGGGAGGTTGAGGTGACCAGTTCAGACGCACATGTCTGAAATTGGGTGACATGAAGTGCGACACTTGAAAACTTTGATATTGTGTAACACTGAGAGAAGACTGACCTACTTGCCCTGTGCAGCCACACTGCTTGATCTCGTTGTGATCCTCGGTTGTGTGTGCTTTTGGTGCTGGGAGAGTTCAGAATCCATGTGCAAGTGTTAATTTTACAGACTATGTGTTAGGGAGCCTGAAGGTCTAAGAAAATGCAGTCCTGTACTTTGATGAATGAGAAGACTTTTTAAAAACTTACTTCAAATGTACAAATATATTGTGATATTTTTCAGGGTGGAGATCTAGACTTCAAAATTCAAGACTACAAAGAATCTGGGAAGACATTCACTCAAAGGCAAATAATAGATTGGTTTATACAGTTGTTACTTGGAGTCAACTACATGCATGAAAGGTACAGTCATTTAATATGAGCACTTGGCTTGCGAGGGGAGTGAGTAGACTTAGTGACTACTTGCAGATATTCAAAAAGAAATGAAACAGTCTTGTCTTGTCTAAGGTCCTGTTCTCCAAACTGCTGTAGTATATGTTGTATACCTAAACTGTAATTAATTATCTGTCCTGCAAGAACATTGTGTATTATGCCTTTTAGCAGTGCAGTGGTAGATGTCTTTCAGCATTAGACACTGAAAATTTAGCACAACAGAAATCGTTCGATATTGTTTCAACAAAATGGATTAAAATGTTCAAACAAAGCCAGCTTTTTCAAGGGGAATCAACAAGGATCTCTTGCAGATATTTAATGTGAAGAATCCAATATATATGATTGATGTGCTTCCATTGAAATCAGTGGAATTATATACATATATTATTTGACAACAGACATTAATTTTAACAGGACATCAAAGATTAACCTTAAAAATTACTGCAGGTCATCCAGGCAGCGATGCGTAGAAATCACACTTGGTTTGAGCAAGGGTAGATACAGATGAGTACCTACCTGGTCCACTCCAGGAGTGTAGTTCTTGTCTGCAGTGTGATTTAGGCAGGCTGACTTGAGTGATTTAAACAGTGCCCCCATTGCCAGTGAACAGGGCATGTGCCTGAGCCCTGTCTGGACCCTTTCCCATGTCATCCAGTGCTGTCACCTTTTAGGTAGGTAGGACTATTTAGCATAGTATGATGGAGACCGAGTGCTGTGCTGAGCCAGGAGCAGAAGCCCCAGCATGCTGCCATCCACACTGAGAGCTGGAGGAATGGCTGAGCCAGTGGGAATGCAAAGTTCCTTTTCTAGAAGCTTTTGACAGTGAGGCAGCTGAAGTTAACCTGGCTTTCAGCATCTTCTTTCCTTTATTTCCTCCCTGTTGCTTTTGTTCACTGGCAGCTTTGAAATGCCACATAGATGAACAAGACAGAGAATCCCTTCTAAAGAGCACTGTGGCCCAAAAGTCCAAGATTTTTCATCCTGCCAAGCTGAACTATTTGGACTATTATTACAGTTGAACTTTTAGAAATAAGAATGACACTGGTGCAAGGACTGTCTTGGCAGAGGCCAAGGATGTTTGTCTTTAATCACCTGCATGTTTTGGGGATGTAGATTAATCTGCCTAAATTACTATTGTAGCCAGGGGGGAGAAGATGTTTATGGTTGAAGAGTAAGTTACACTCTGAACCTGGAGATGAGAATTCAGTTTTTTTCAAGCTGGATGTAAACTGGAAGCCACAGTCTTTTCTTTTGCATGACTACTCAGAAAAAAAGATTGTTATGCACTAGATTGAAGGTGAACACACCAAACCGAAGTGTCTGTTTCAAGTATATTTCACATCAGGGCTTGGGTCAAATTTGGTTTCCTGAACTTGAGTTGCTACAGAGCAGTAGATAGAGACAGTCACCTGTCACCAAGAACAAGCATTTCTGAGTTGAGCTGAAGTTAAGTGTGTGGGTTATGTTTGACCTAAACTGATAGATTTCGAATAAGTTTTTTCACCGACAGTGTCAGACTGCAGAAGGAAAATGGTAGAGTGAATTGCTGTCCCGGATGCAAGACCATTTTGTTTCCTAAATGCCAATTTATCTGGGGCTTGTAAATGAAGTGCCAGCCCCACAGACTGCGGTGATGGGAGCACAATGGATAGAGCTCTCTTGGAGAGCTGTGCTCTTCAGCATTCACCTCTGGCTGAAAGGACAGAGGGAAAGGGAAATAAAAATCCTGATCATCTAACAAAACCAGCAGGGTGTTGGTGTTGGTGGTGGGTGTTCCCTTCTTGAACTCCAGTTCAACAGTTTATCATTAAAAGTTTTGATTATCTGGAAAGTCCACTTTTGGTGAAATCCTTTCTTTAATGTATATGTTTAGAGGATGCATTGTGCAGACTAATGCAGAATAACAACAACATTGCAGTTGGACTAGATGATCGTTGTAGGTCCCTTCCAACCGAACTATTCTGCTCTATAGTAAAGTTATTAACTCTGTCTTTAATTTTCTGTATTTCCTCATGCCTCTTTTATTTCTTGTTTTCCCACATGTCCCTTTTATCTAATCTTCTCTCTATTTTTCTTATCTTCTACTTGTTCTCAAATGAATCTTTAAAAAAATATACACGAACGTCCTTTGGTAAATATGTATATTAAATTACTGGGTTTCCTGAAAAGTAGTTTAATTCTCCAGTGAAAGCAGCAATTTGATTTTCCAAACAGCATTTCATTTTCTTTCTTTGAATCATAGCTATTTAATAACAGCTCTCCATACACATACAAATAACTTGACAGTTTTATTTTTATTTGCATTTTCTGTATTGTATTATTTGTTATTTGACTGTATGCCTATTAGAAAACTTAATCTTTATTTTATTAGTTTAGAGCCAAGCAATAGCTTAAGTGGAAAAGGTTAGGTTTAAAAGAATTTAAAACTACTTAAAGAAATTAATTTGAACTACTGAAACATAACATCCCTCTGTTTATGTATAGAGGAGTCATACATGATTTCTTCTCTACTCATATGGAAAGAAGCTGTAATATGTATCTGACTATGTTCTAATGCAAACAAATCTTTTCCCTAGAATTAGAAGCTTGAAGTGTTCATTACCTGTGGGTTGGACTTCCTTGTGCAATTTCTTAGAAAATCCAGCTGTTTTGAATGGGAGTTTTTATTCCAGAGGAGCAAAAATTAATATTTCTGCTTTTAGACATAGACTGTTGTGCTGGGTTCAGCACACAACTGAACACACACACGACAACTGTTCACTTGGTTTTCCATATTGCACAGCTTTCATTGAACTTCTGCACTTTTGGAAAACTCTTATACTGGAAAGTTATTTTAAAACAGGACTTTTTTGCTGCCCCAGATTGTTTTCCTGTGATAATAAAGATTATACAGATTAGACATTCCTGTCTTTTACTTATGCTTCATAAATCCCAAAGGGAGCATCAATGTCCTATGGTCATTATGCTGTCTACTACCTATTTTCCATAATTGGAAGGATTTTTTAATTTTCAATTTGAAAGCTAAATTATCTAGAATTAAACAGATTCAGTCCTCATCTGTCATCCATATAACCAGAGAGAAGGAGCAACAACATGTTTCAGTGGTCTTTTCTAGATGGAGACATCATGAAGCTGTCCTCTAGTCTCGCTGGCATACTTGTAGCCCCTCACACATCAGTGCACAAAATTGATCCCACAGCTATCAGGCAATGAGGCCATTGATTCATTTAACCTCAGTTTGAATAAAGTTGATGATTACGTTATCCATCACTTTGCTGATCTTTATGAACAATATGCCAACACAGAGATCCTTATAAAGTTACTGCTTATGCCAACAAATCTGTTGCTTCCAGTGTAGAGGATAGCAGGATTTGCCCAAGGACATTATCTGGATTTTACGTTGTCTTCCCTACTACAGGATTCAGACTTACCCAGAACCTCTTACTTGTCTAAACAGTTCTTCAGCTTGAGGAAAGAAAAAATAACTGTTGAATATTTCACAGCAGTAGACTACTTTAGCTTCAATCAGCTTCATTTACTGGTATGTTGCAGGGGAAGCTTTAGTCAAGGAGGCTGCCCACTGCTCAGTGCTTTGTGCTGCTTTTTTAAGACCATGAGACAGCAAGCAGGTAGGTTATAGAACATAGGTATGGGTATATTTATTGCCCAAATTTGCAACTGTCCTTAAGTGTTAATTTCTACCCAAAATATCAATAGACTCTTCACTTACTATGAGGTTAATTAAGTATTACTGGAGTCCAGTTAATTCATGTTACAATTATAGGCCTGTCTCTTGCTACAACAAAAACTTGCACTCTTTCTTAAACTAGTTTTACAGTGCAGGCTCAATATTTATTTCTTACTAGAATTAAAGTAACTGTTAAGATTTTAGCTAGTAACTTGTTTATCTTCGGTAATACCCCATCAGAATAAGGTGGCTTACATTGAGACATCATCATGAGAAGTTCCAAAGAATCATCCTGAATTTTTCTTATTCATATTAGCATATAAAAACATCTTCTAATTATTGGTAATGCAAATAATTTGCATAACATTTTCATCAACATGTTGCAAGTTTATATTAGCATTACATTCTAATTCAAACAAATCTGTGGATGCCTCATCCCTGGAAGTGTTCGAGGTCAGGCTGGATGAGGCTTTGAGCAACCTGATCTAGTGGAGGGTGTCCCTGCCCGTGGCAGGGGCGTTGGAACTGGATGATCTTTGAGGTCGCTTCCAATCCAAACCATTACATGATTCTATGAAACTAATGTGACCCATGTGTGTCTTCTCTTTATCACCTTTTCAAATAATATGTTACTGAAAGCTTTCTGGATAGTTTTTACTGTAGTAGTTTTGCTATTCAAATTACAGATATCCAGGAAACTTTCAGGTTCAAGGAGTCTGTGGTTATATTTATACAAAATAATAACAACAACAAAAAGGTTAAAACCCATTAATGCTCAACAAAATATGCAAGAAAAATCTGACTCAATGGAGTTCTGGCAAAGGTTCTGTGTGAAGGATGGTAAGGAAAGACTGTCAATCTAAATTAACAGACCAAGATTTATATAAAACTGTCTGTATATGTGAGCTTATGAAATAATAATGAATATCACCTTAGCTTAATTTCCTTACTAATGTAATGTAGGATGAACATATATGTATTGCTCAAGAAGGTTGCGAAATATAGAACAAATTATTTATAAACATCAGTGGAAGCCTGCAGAAAAATCTGTCATTTTTTCCTAATGTGCAAACCTTTTTCTACAAGCTTTACCTTCAGGATGAAAACAGGAAAGATTGCAAAAAGAAGCATAAAGAACTATCTGTTTTTATAGAACATAAAGAAGAAGTATTTACTTTCCAAGCTGAGTCTATGTGCGTACTAAAACATCTTCTAGTAGTTGTTATTCACGTTTTTTTCCCATTTGTGAACTGACTATATTGAATGTAATAATTTTTTTCTCTTCTAGCAAAAATTATTTTTAAATGAGCTGTGGACTAAATTGCATATTTAAATTGTGCTGTAGATAATGTATTTTCTAGTCTTAACAAGGAAACTATTTTGGAAATTATTTCAGTATCTCAATGCATATGACTTTAATAATTCAATAAAATTTGAAATAATACACAAGGATTGCTCAAGAAGAATTAACATCTATTACTGTGTGTGTTTTGCTTGCCCACATCTCATGAAACTCAGAAGCTCTCTTCTAAATGGCTGAACAACTACCATGTTGTATTCACAAATACTGTTTCTGTAGCCAGAATGTACCCAATGCTATTCTAACCTCCTCCTGAGCAGAGCTGACAACTAATACTGTGTGTTATCAAGCTGCAAGGAATTTAAAAGTGGAAGAGTTCTAGTTTAGTTGAGGTAGTAGGGAGCCCTTTTGGAAGAGTTATTTATAAAAATTAGTTGAGAACATGTTTTGTATGTTGTAGAGATATTTTATTTTCCTAAGGGGATGGATAATTTGTCATATATTAAGGGTTGTCCCTGCATGGTGTGTAGCTTATGCTGTTGCTTCTGTCTTTGATGGAAAAACAAATCTGTAAAAGCTAGTTGTTCTTTTTCTTTTCCCTTTGATCTTTGTCATTGTAAACTTTTTTAATCTTCCCCACCATTACTGTAAAAGTTTGAACTACTAGCCTAGTCTATATGCATGTTTTTCTTTCAAGTAATGTTTTCTCTGAAGGAGAGTTCCCTGAGCTTTGGGAATCTCTTATTGCTGGTTTTCTCATCCCTTATTCTATTGTGAGACATCTCATGCTTCTGACAGAAAATAAGATGTACTGCTTTTAAGAAGAGCCAGATAGGAAGACTTGCCTTTCTCCCTTCCTGTGCAGCTCATGTTAAGCCTATATCTCTGTTCTCAAGCTGGGATCCCAGGATGCATTTTTGTTATCCTGGCTGCTTAGGCTCTCATCCTGCAGGTGGGTGCCTGTGAATGCACCTCTGTGTTCATACAAAGCTCCTTAATGCCGTCATGTGTGCATTGTGACTTACGGGGTTAGACTGTAGCAGTGGTGGGCTGGCCTTCCTATCAAGGAGTGAAGATATAAATACTTGAGATACTTGATATGTGACTGTGAATGCGTCAGGTTGGATGAGGTTGGATTTCCTTTTATATTCCAGGAGAATACTTCACAGAGATTTGAAAGCCAAGAATATATTTTTGAAAAATAATCTTCTTAAAATAGGTGAGATTTCCATATTTTTTAAAGATGTATTTTAGTATGATAGAACAATCCAGCAGACATTTTGTCAATAAGGATATTTTAAAGAAGTTATGTCTGATATAGCATTTTGATTTGTGGTCAAGCATTTATTTGACAGTCAGAGGCAGGAATAGGGGCCCAGAGAAGTAATGAAATCTCCAGCCATGGTGGTGCTCCAAGTTTGACTGGACCTGAGCAGCCTCCTGTAACTTTGAAGTTGGCCTTACTTTGAGGCAGGGGTTTGAATCAGATGACCTTGTGAGGCCTCTTCAAACCTACATCATTCTATGGTTCTATGTTTTTCTAGTGCTTTTATTTTGAAGAATTACTGAAAAAATGGGGGGTTTTCCATATTTTAAAATTCTGGCAGGTTTTTTTGATGTACAATCATTGTATGATGTCTAACAATAAACCCAAAGAATTTGTATGAATAGATACGGATTTATGGAATTTATATTAATAGATTATTGTTTCTGCTGTTACTTTCAGGGGACTTTGGAGTCTCTCGTCTTTTGATAGGTTCATGTGATCTGGCAACTACATTTACTGGGACACCGTACTACATGAGTCCAGAGGCACTGAAGCACCAGGGATATAATACAAAATCGGACATCTGGTGAGTAGTCAGCATGCTGTTTCAGTTGGAATAGGTATTTATTTTCTATATCAGCTTTCAACTTTATTTAGGAACTACCTTTTTTTTTTTAAAAAAAAAAAAGAAAAAGGCTCCCTCAGTAGTGTGGTCACACTTTTCCATCAAAATTAACCCAGGACATTTGTGTCACATGTTGCAATTGGAAGGTTTGCTCTTTGTGTTAAGAAGCATGTAGTTTACTATCATTCTGGGTTATCTGGGACTTCAAAATAGAGTAAGATTTAGTTCCAGTCTTTGCCATGACATGGGATGATTGAAGACAAAGTTCAGGTTTTGGTATGAATCTTTTTCTCACGCTGGGAAGATGAATGGAAAGAAGTAACTTTCCGTGAAACTTCCAAGTGGACAAGGAAAGAGTCATTCCTGGCTGAGAGTGAAGCAGAAGGACCTTCTTAGGAACTGAATTGAAAAAACATTGGCAGATACAAAAAAGAAGAAGGTGCTTGGAAGGAGAGCTGAAAATGAGAATAACTGGAGTGTTAGGACAGAGGCAAAAAGGCACTGTTTTATAAAAGGCTCAAAGGTAGAAAGAAAAGTGTGACTTCTACACTTCGCACAGATTCTTGAGATCAGGACTTCTGAGGTGATGATTAAAGAATCAAGTTGAGAAACTGAGATCTGTTGAAAGACCTTAGGAAACCTTTAGGTTTACTGAGTGCAGGTATGCCTGCAAGCTAAGATGAAGAATGATTTTTGGAATGGGGAAAATATCGGCCTTGTTTATGTGTGTGTCCTAAACCATCTCATTGTGTTTTAAGATGATGGTTGAAACTATTGTGTTTTTAAAATTCTGTCATAGTATTTTTTTATAGAGGAGCTTTTGTTTTTTCTGTTAAGAGGTATTTCCTTCTGTAGGTAAGCTGATCTGAAGGCCCCTTTTTTATTAATATTTCAAATCAGGAAATTTCATTCATAAAACATTTTACCACAGGAATGTAGTTCATTTACTTCAGCCTCTGCTCAATTCTCCCTTTTCAAAATATAGTTGTGACTGCAAGATATAATTCTAAAAGTTGAGTCATCTGTATTTTCAATCCGTAGCAACCATTTTTCACAGTTAGCATGTTCAATCCAGTCAACAGATGTATCAGGAATCTCATCTCATGGTCTGTGTAGCTGAACTGAGATGGATTTGATGTCAGATTCTCTCATGTTCATCTGTATCAAAACAAATGTCAGTTAATACATGTAGTCAATAAAAATATATTGAGAGGAGATTTCAGAAGATGTCAAAACAAGTAAACAGACAGGAAAACCTGCCTTTTGTGCTCAATTACTGTAAAGAATAATTTCTTTTATTGCAGTTGAAATGGAATGTAAAATATATATTTAATTTCCATTTGTTGTTGCAAGTGTCAATTCATAGAAGTCATTGAAGTTGTACAGAGTAAATGAGAGCTGATTTTTGCCCAGTATATTTATAGATGATGTGTTGATCACCCTTTCAAAATTTAAAAACTAGCAGAAATGTTCTGTCCCCCAACAGCAGTTCAGTAGCGATTAGCTTTCTGCTATACTTTATGCATTTTATAATCTTTCCAGAACAGTACCCCGAGCACTCATCCGAGGGTGGAACTGCCTTCAGTAGGAGCTTCTTGGCCCTCACTGTAGGGGCAATAAGGAGGAGGTGATCCCTGACTCACTAGACCCCCCCAACCCATGAAGAACTTCTCTTTCTGAGCCACTAAACTCTCTTTCGATCCAGATTTTCAACTACCATGACTCATACATTTGATTAATACATTGGTAATTTCATCTCTTCATTTAATATTTTAATAATAACTGATTTTTGTTTTAATTTGCGCTATATAATGGGGGCCGATACATGGGAGATCCCTGAGCCCCCAGGGGAACCCACCCTGGAGGCTCCAAGTGAGGTAAAACCTTGTGCTGCTTTGCAGGAAGTTCTGTTGCTCATGAAGAAGTTGCCCAAGTCTTTTATGAGTACCTGAAGTGACGTTCTCTCTTCAGACTTGCCTTTCTGACCTCTAGCAGGATTTTGCATTGCACACAAACATTCAGAATCACAAGTGTTCCCATATTAAACGTAATAAAATGTAAAATATCTTCTACAAAAGGCAGTTATTGCCATCTTGCTAAGTTATCTTGGTCCTCTCACTGTTCAGTCCAGTTAATCATTGTTCATTGGAAAGACCTTATTTTATGATGCGTTAACAATGTTCTCCAAAGAGACATTGTGCTTTTCAGGTTCACTGAAATGTTCTGCAACTGGGTCTTCAAAATTGGCTTGAATATTTACCGTGTAGCAACTGGTACAAGAAATAGTGTCATTTATAACCCAAGATCAGTAGATG